TTATTAGATATTCATAAATATAATATAATTAACTAAATATTTTATAAATAATAATTATATTATAATATATTCATCATTTCAATTTAATTTAATTATATTGAGAGATAATCTATTAAAATTATATAGTTTAAATTCTTAGAATTATATTATTTGATGTTAAATTCACGTAATTATTCTATTAATATTATAAATTTTTAATAATATTAGTATTTATTACATCATCCGGTTCGACCCCGGTTCGACCGGTCGAACTTTGAACCTCCTTCTTCCGGTTCTTTGTCCGATCCGATTTTCACAACCTTGGTTAAACCACATTAAAATTTGTGTCCAATTTGATCTATGTTTAATAACTTGTGTTAATTAGATTTAATTATTTATGCTTAAAATTCTATAACTCTCACATAGCATAAATCCATTTATCATCACCATATCTTGTAAATGCACATCTATGTGATCTTGATGTTTGATGAAAGTAACCTGAATTTGTGTGATTGATCATGTTACAGATCATTAACTTGCTCATTCATGTACACGTACATCTTTGATTGCTTGTTTACTTTATTTTTGTGAGTTGAATTGGTTAACTTATGCCTGTGTGGATTTAGTGATTTTTGCTCAATCACTCACATTAGCATAAAACACATGTACATTCACTTACACGTGTTTAATTGATTATCTATTTCCTTATGCATGCTTGAGTGTGTGACAAAAAGAATTTAGAAAAAAAAAATGCTAGGGCGAACACACACCCAATTCACCCTTTCTTGGTGTGCCTAGAATCAATACTAAACTCTCTAATTGATTGAAGGACCAAAATATCCGTTAACCAAGGACATTTTTTGCCACATGTACTAAACCGCCCTGCACTCTCATAGCTATTAGTACACCTTTTTTTTCTTTCGAACATACTTGAGGATCAGAATGTTTTCTAAGAGAAACACTACACATGGCAAACTTATTTTTTCTTTGGTTGTGTTTGCATAAAACAATTGATCATTGTGAGCAACCTATGCTAAAGAGCTCTACTGGATTTAGATTGTTTCTGACAAAAAAGAGTAGCAATTTGACATATGGGTAACTAAGACAATTTGTAGTTAGTACTTAAAGGCATAATTTATGAGAATTTATCAGAATACTAACATGTGAAGCAATTTTAAGAAGCACTGTCATCTAGCAAGCTTTAGAAATAGTAAGATTTTGAAATAAAACTTTGCTCAATAATGTATCATGAGTGAAGGAACTACCTTAATAGTAATCTCTAGGTTACTAATTAAAAAAGTTTGATGCTCGGTATTATCAGAACAATTAAACAATAATTCCCTAGAAGCCTAAAGTCACCTCTAAAAATGAATATTAACATAAATCAACATTTCAAGTAACCTAATCCATCATCTTAATATGCTATAAAAAATTTGACTGCAACTTCAAAACTCACCTTCTTGTATTTTGCATATGCTGTTCGACCAGTTGATTTTTCTCCATCTTTACTGACATACACCTGCCAAAGTGAAAATAAAAAAATTACAAAAAACTAAATATTTGCTGCAATTTTCATTATGATATACTTCATCTGAATATTATATAAACATCTGTGAATATGTGATCAACACCTAGATAGACAAATTTCAATTTAGAAGCATCTCAGAACCTCTCATAAGAAACAAAAACAAGTCAAAAATGAAAGAAAATCATGATTTTCTTCTCCAAGGTTGTTAAAATACCTTTCTTCCATCCTGTTCAGTAAACCAGTGACCTGATTGACGAACATCAGCACTGACTCTTCTTTTTCCAGCGTCCTTTGGGACAGTAGCTTTGAATCTAGGATTTACCCAACTCCCAGCAGCATCTGAGGCTTCTATGACACTGCAGCTTTTTTTATTCTGCTTTTTACTTGAGTTTGATCGAGATAACTTTTCAGTTGCAATGTGAGCTTTCCCACCAGCAAGTGTAGGGCTGAACTGACGTCTGGAAACACATAAATGAGATGATTAATCAAAAGATATAGATGTTAAAAAGAGTTCACAGAAAAGGTTAATGATGCAATTATTACATATAATCAAGACTTTCAGCTCCAAACTGCTGAGCTTCAGTATTATTCTTCGTTCCAAGAAGAACAAAGTGTGGCAAACGTTGACGAACTAATGTCTGGATCCTTGGATCAGTATGATAGAAATATTGATAGGCAGGAGGTTGAGGACTTGACAAATCCCAGTTTCTGTCCACCTCTCCATTGATGTTATTCGGAGAGTTCAAAACATCACTTCCATCAATGAGATCATGAGTATCGAATCCACTAGAACTGCCAAAACAAGAGGACTTAATTTCTCCCTTGATATGATTTACATTTTGATCCCCGATTGATCTGAAATATTCCTTGCAAAACTCATCCAGAGCTGGAGTTTCTAATTTGCTGTTTTTATTTGGACTGAAATCCTTCCAAAAACTTTCTTTTTGACATTTGCTTGCTAAAAAACTTTTTTTCGCTTCCCAAGCTGCACATGCCTCATGGAAATGCTTTCCTTTTTTCAAAGATACACCAGTCACTTCATTCTTTCTACATTTATCTTTACTGTTAGAAGAATCATCTGAATCTGAGTCAATTAAATTGATCTTTCTAATAGGGCTAATGGTTAATCTTGGGAAAGTAACCTTGTCATTTCTTGCGTCAAGACTTGTCAAAGTGGAGAAGCAACCAGAAGCTGGGACTTTAGAAGCTCTGTGCTTACACTCTGAATTATCCTTTAGGAAACCACGATGCAGCAAGGAAAATTTTGCATTGCTACAGGTGATATGACTTTGAGTAGATGGATAATCATCTGCTACAAAAAAGAATGGCCAAATAAATAACAAGGAATGTATCATTATCTTCATAAAATTGCACATTAAAATGTATACTCTCATCTCTCACATAGACTGAAATATGGTATAGCATCCCAAATATCACTTTCCCTAAAAATAAAAAACGGACTGCTACTAGTAGCCTATCATTGTCAAGGCTTTGGACGGTAATGTTATGTTGTTGTTATAATGTCTTGTTTTGTACGAATAAGCATTTTGTACTCGCACTAAAGGCTTCATTTGGGACGGCCTTCTTATGGCTTTTTAAAGCAATTTCTTAGTAAAAAATCAAAATTTTTGTATTAGGAAGCTGTTTTTAGAAGCATAAAGAAAGCCGTCCCAAACAAAGCCTAAGATGGGCAAGCCATTCAGTAAGTGTGTTGCCCATGTTTTCAATGTGATGGAGAGTTTACATGTAAAGTATCGGGCTTTCATTGTGAATTTTCAGCAATAATCAAAATTGTGACACACCTAAGTTTTAGAAAAGCAAAAAAAAATATTACTAAACAAAGCCTAAATATTTTTCTATAGATTTATCAAGAACCAATAGAATGGGAAGCTGATGATAAAAAACATCATGAAAAGGGATTAAATGAAGTGTAATACTTTCTGCACTAATCCTCATTATTAGGTAGTGACTTCTGGTGAAAACACTTTGGCATCACAAACAAAGAAAGCATTGCGAGATTTTTATCTTATTTTGGAGGAAAGAAAAAATAATATCAAACATAGTCAGATCCTCAAACATTGTTAAACGCCTGCCCTATTGAAAGCAAGCCACACTAATGAAAAATGGACAGTTGAGTTACATCCACAATAAATTCAGAGTACAAATTTTTGTTTTTCTTAGTGTAGCATCTGATTTGTTAGTCAAACAATAAACAAAAACTTCTCCTGAAGAACAAAGAAGTGAACACGGCATGTTCATGTACATGCAAGCTAAAACAAAAAAAAAAACTTCGCCCCGACCTTTTTAAATGCCAAAGCTGAGAAAAATGCTGTCAGTCCATTTCTTAGGAATTGTTTAATTAGGCCTTCATAGCTCTGTCACAACACTAGACAATATGACAGGATGTGGTGGATCATCCTTTTGACCAATTTTATTTTTTAGGTGCAATTTTGTGAAAACAATATAACTTTAATTGCATTGCATATGTTATCTGGATTATCTAGTGATACTAAATTACTGTGAGAAATGAAGAGACATGAACATCTTAAAGGCAAGTAGCTTTGGGGCTTCTTTGGGCCCAAAAAGTCTTCTGTTGTTCGGTGGATTGAAATGTCAAAATGATTAGACGTGTTCATCCTAATGAACTACTTCTACACTCCCTTTCTCTTTTTTGCGTGTGCACGTTCATAGTCAAGGGGGAAGAGATTAAAAATCAAATAATATGAGCAGATTATCGATGTCCATAAAATGGTTGAACATATTAGGAAAAATAATCTGAGGATAACCTCTAACAATCTAAGAGATTTTTCAGTGCATCATTTAAGTGGTTTCTTGTTTATCATCCCACTCACTTGTTATGTTTTTGGAAAACTTGAGTCTTTTTTGGTGGTTTTATTACCATGGTTATATTCTCGGAGTTTAGAGTTCAAAGAAGAAGGAACTGCAACCCGAGTCTCAGGAATGGGAGATGAAATACTCAGGTCTAAAAGCTCTATTTCCAACAAATTATTCTTCCTGGAATGAGAAAGAACATCTTATATCTTGCTTTGCACAGGATGAGAGCATCAAGCTCACAACAATGAATATTAAGTTTGTATAAGGATATTGATTATGAACATATTCAATGCAAGATACATTGGTATATATATTTTTTATACGAGATAATTATAATCATTGAGAGATTTATTGAAAATAAGTGATAAGTTCGAAGAATGAGAAAAAAAATTGTGGAAGAAAATGCTTGGAAATAATAAGGTAAAATAGAATATGATGTGCAATTTTAATGAATATGGTGTCAACAATTATTAATCAATATTACTAGAAAAGAACCAACCTATGATATATTTAAACATCTTAGAACTATTATGCAACAAACTAATATAAATAAAGATATACATTTTAGAGTTAAGGATGTGTGATTGAAATAGAGAAATGATTTGGGACTATAATGCAATTACTATTTTAAAGAAAATAACATGGAGACATAAAAATAAATACTATAAAACTAAAATTCAGTGGGCTGTATTGGATCTGAACCATATAAATTTGTGTACCTTATCAGTTGATTCTTTTGCGATAATTATCCATTGCTATCAGTTACTTCCAAACATGCAATGCTTAATTCAGACAAGTAGCAGAACTACAACCTCCTATGGCTGTTGCTTCACTAAAACCCAAGACATTGTCACACTTCGCATTATTATTGAACGGAAAAAAGGAAATCCTTCTCATCCAGACAACGGCTTCACGCGAGAAAAAGGAAAAATTGCTCCTTTTGTCCATTCTACCAGTAAATTTAAAACTATAAACCCTAATTAAAATTAAAAAAAAAAAAATCGGCGCGACTCACCAGAACAGCGCTTAGGATGCTTGTCCGGAGAAGAAAACTCCTCGATGTCATCGTACAACGGAGGCGATTCATGCGTCAGATCGCCTCCATCAGCAGACGGACGAGAAATGCAAGCTGCCGCAGGAGATGAAGACGGCGGCCCCCTCCTTAGTCGCTTGAGGACCCGCGGAGGGGGCTCCTCTTCTTGAGCCTCGCCTAGGGTTTCCTGTCCTCCAATCTCTTCCCATTTTTGAATCGAAGATTTACGTACGCTCTCTTCCTCCTCCTGCCGCTGATCTGGACATGACTGAAGGCCAGGATGGCCCGCTTCTTCTTCCTCCTCTTCGCCTTCGGTGGGTAGATCAGCGATGTCGATGTCGATGTCGATGTCGAGCCCTAAAGAAAATGAGGGAACGGAGAAGTCTTCCATAAGAGCGCAGACATTAGAGCTCAGATCAATGGAGAAGAGGGCTTCTTTGAACTGTGATTTGATGCCCGCGGTGAAATTTTTCGAGCTTTTGCGCCAAAAAATTGGTGGACGCGACGGACGTGGCGGACTCGGAAAAGCACCAGATTGGGCCGGTTTGATTCGGGTCAAGTGCTGCATGAACCGGGCCTCTTTCACCATATACGCATCCAAGGCAGGCCATGAATTTGACTAATGGCCGTTTCTACGGAGTAATTATTGTGTCCGGACACCGAATGTGTACAGAGACCAATAAAAAAACGTCACATCATTTGGGTGCTCGGTATTGTGCTCGGTACAGCACTCGGTATCACTCGATATTCCGGATTTTCGATTTTTTATCTGGACATAATAACTTTCCGTTTCTACGAGGGGTGTAAGTTTAAAATACAATATCAAATAGTAATTTATCTTCAATCAAATTTTAGTTATACCATCAAAAAAGAAAATCATTTGCATTTTTTTTCATCGCTATTTTTACCCTCCATTTTTCTTCATAGAAATATTTTTTTTAAATAGTGTGATAGTAATATTGGCGTCACATTGTTCATAGCCGAGATAAAATGCAAAATTACGTTTACATTTGCCATTCGGGTGGATGTTCGCCGGAGCTACAAATGGCCGAATATTGTTCGGTTGGAGATACCCTAAGTAAGTCGAGTCAACTCATGGGTCGGCTAAAATTTGGCTTGATTAATGCTCGTGAGTTGAGATTGATGAGCTAATGAATCAAAATTGAGCTAATGAGCTAAACTAGAACTAACTTCAACTCAACTTGTTAGCTCATGAGTTGGCTTATTTAAAAAATATTATTACAAAATATGCTTTAATAAAATTATCATAACTATTTAAAAATCATATCTCACTTTTATATATTAAATAATTTCTTATTATTTTCTTCCAACTTATAATTCTTATTATAATTTTATATAAAGAAAGCCCCATCGTGGCTCAAGTTAGATTATCATCTCCAATCAATATGTTCTGATTAATTCAACTGTAAGATGGTTGTTTATAATTGTTAGGATTGAAAATTTGTCGAAGGTGGAGAGATATGAAGTTTAGCGTCATAATTTTGAACGAAGATTCAACACACATATATATAAAGAGAGTGGACTGTGAGAGTCATAAGAGACTAAGATTTATTCGTGAAAAATCTTAAAATGGAGAAAAAATCATGGGGATGACCAAGTTAAAATGATTTTGTGTTTGTAGTCGATTACAAATGGTGCCCTTCCGCGGGGCAGAAGGCATTGGCTCAATTTAACATATAGAACACATTATATGATTGGGGTTAGACGAATCCAATGATAAGGGAGTCATTCTCAAGAGAATATTGGTATGTTCATTTGGTTGGCATGGCTATATTTGCGCAAAGAAGATTATAGGGACTGTAGTCGGTGACGGTGGTCAGAAAAACCTTAGTCGGCGGGCGATGGAGGTCGGAGGGACTGTAATTAGCCGGCAATAGTGGTTGGAGGGACCATAGTTGGCGGACGACGAAGGTCGAGGGAATCATAGTTGGCGAGTGACAGAGATTAAAGGGATCATAGTTTGCGGGTGACGAAGGTCAGAGAAACCTTAGTCAGCAGGCGATGGTGGTCGGATAGACCGTAAGTCGGTCGGTGATGATGTTTGGGGAAACATGTTCGGTGGGGGATGGAGGTCAGAGGGACCGTAGTCGGTGGGTAACGGAGGTTTGAGGGTCCATTGTTGGCGGGAAATGTTGATCGGATGGGCCGTAGTTAATAGGAAATGGTGGTTGAAGGGACAATAATTGGCGGCGATCGAGATTGAAGGGACCATATGTGTGGGTGTCGTTGGTTGGATGGATCGTATGAGGGACCAAAGTCGATGGGCAAACGGTGGTAGCAGGGGCAGTAGTTGGCGGGCTATGGAGGTTGGATGGGCCATAGGTGGTGGGCAATGGTGCTCGGAGGGACCGTAGTCGGTGGGTGACGGCGGTCGGAGGGACCTTAGCCAGCGGGCAACGATGATCAGATGGACCATAGTCGGCCGGTGGACTGTAGTCGAAGGGACCTAGTCGGAGAGCTGCGGTGCTTGGAGGGACCATAGTCAGTGGGTGACTGTGGTCGGTGGGTAATTGTGGTTGAAGGGACCGCTGTCGGGGGGGGACTGGTCGAAAGGGTTATGGTCAGCAGGTGACAGTGGTTGAATGGACCATAGCCGGAGAGCATCGAAGGTCTACGGGACTATAGTTGGCGGGCGACATGGTCGGAAGGACTATCGGAGGGATCGTAGTCGGCGAGCGATGGTGGTCAGAGGGATTAGAGACAGTTCGGCAGCGGTCGGCAGCCAAGTGAAAGTTCGACTGTAGTCGCGGATAGAAGGGAGTTTGGAGGCAATCGACGGTGAGGCAATGATCCGGCGAATGTTGGGCGGAAGTTCAAAAGCGGTCGACGGCTGGGGGTTAGTATGACAGCAATCAGTGGTGGGGCAATGGTTCGATATTGTCATATGGAAGTTTGGTGGATGCCGTAGCTGAATGGAAGTTCAAAAGCTATCAATGGCTGGGAGGAAGTTCGACAACGATCGGCAGCCAAGCGGTAGCCTGCGCAAAGGTCGACGGAGGCTCGCCTTTGGTGGTGCTGGATATTTGAATTCTGAGTGCTCTTTCCAATCTCTAGCCAAAAGATCCCAATTTCATGTAGAGAGTGAAAGTCAATTTATAATTTTTTTTAGAGTATCATACCTCATATATATGGAGACTATCTAGGGCAGAATTGGGGTGCTTCATCGGACGATCCATAGTAATCCATTCGATCATAGAGCGTTTGCTAAGCATTTATGTGACTAAATGATGTCCAAATTAAACGATCTTGGGCTCATTGGATTCGTCTAGTCGAGCCGCTCGATTTGACTATAAGCGTGTTATATTTAGATGTTGTTTGGTCATCTAATTTAAACTTTAAACCTTCCAAATAAGCTTTGGGCCCCATATTTGGAACCATTTGGGCTCGAATTGGACCGAATTTGGTGTCATTGGTTTGTCTCTTTGAAACATTTCTTTTGACTGTAAGTTTGCTGAAGTTGGAGTTTGGATAGTCACAAATTTAATTTTGAAAGTTTTCAACTTAAATATGCCTTTAGATTCATGCACGATCTAGATGATTTTTTGATGACGTATCAATATTATATCGTTGTTCAGTCTTCCTTATTTTGCTATAATCATCTAGAATTAAAAAATATTTAATTGTATGATAAATATTTTTAAATTATGGTTAATAATTTGTATAATTTAATACATTTTAATATACACCTCTCCATATATATACTTTAATAAATATATTATTAGTATAGAACAGCAAAATTCAAATAAGTCTATTACATTTTATATCATTTAGGTCCGGACTCGGTATTTCATTTTTTGAATTTTCCACGTAAAAAAAAATGGGTGCATATTACTTTTTTTATTATTTGTACTTCTTGGATCTTCATAAAAACTAAGATCATAAAATTCATTCTCTATTGTTGTGAATTTTTTAACATTCAACACCACTAATTATAAATTTGATGATAATTTTCTCCATGATTAAATGAATTTTCAATCCTGAGAAGATTTTGCAATTATCAAATATTTATTATGGGACATCATAAAATACTGACCCAGTCCATGAAAGCCACTTTTTGTATCCATGCAGGACTTCAAAAGTTAAGTCTTTTTAATTTTTAAGGCACTACGTAGCTCATCTTGATATGTTAATTGAGATTTGAAATTTTTGATAAGAGATTTTGAGTTCGAGTCCTACGTAAGTGATGTAATCACATAAACGAGTCGAGTTGAGTCAAGTCGAAGTCACTCTCGAGCACTTAATTGAGAGCAGGAGTTAATTAATTAATTAGGTTGGAGTTAGTGCTCAAGTTAAATTCCATGAGTACTAATGATTCTGTTATTGTTAATAAGATAAATTTATTCTGATAAAAATAATTATTATAATAAAATGATAAAAAATAGAAAAGATAGTTAAAAAAGGAAAAACCACGTTATATTATATTTGGGGACTGTATAAAATTTTAAATATTTTAAATAATTGTATATTTATACTTTTAAATTCTATTATATTTTAAGTGTATTTTTTTACTAATTTTTTATTTAAACGGACTAATTCACAAGCTGATGAATTAAGTTAAAGCTAGCTCAAATTTGCGTTATTAGGTTATCGAGTCATGAACCATTTATCGAGTTTATCCGAGCCGTCTAATAAATTGGCTTGTCTTAATCATACTAATTTCATCACATAATAGAGTTATAGGCTTCGTTTGGGACGGCTTTCTTACTACTTCTTAAAACAGTTTTTTAGTACAACAAATAATTTTTTTTTATTAGAAAGCTGTTTTAAGAAGCAGTAAGAAAGCCGTCCCAAACGAAGCCATAGACAGTAAACAGTTTCAAAAAAGCAGGCGAATTTTTTTAGGTTTCGTTTGAGACAACTTTGTTAATGCTTTCTAAAACAGTTTTCTAATACAAAAATTTCGAATTCAATAAAATTTTTATAATCGAAAGCTATTTTAAATAGCATCAAAAAAATTATCCCAAGCAACTCCTTAATTTCTAAACAATTTATCAAGAGATCATTCGAGTCAATCTTGGCACACTTAAATATAAATTCAATCACAATCTAAATGTACCTTATAATAAATAATAAAATATCATAAAATGATGAATTATGACCAAGTCCATGGATGCCACTTTCCATCCTTCATTGCATGGTAAATCTTCTAATGTGACTCTTTCAACTTCCTCTTCTCCTCTATCTCATTCTCCATATAATGCACAAAGCATAAAGAAGAAGAAGAGGATGGGGAACTGTGTAGGCCGACAAGTCGTGCCGACGACCGACACAACCGCCGGTAAAGAGCGCAGCGGCGACCGGCGAAAGCAAGAGGAAGTAGAAGAAGAAAAGAAGGCTGGAGCTTCCACAGTAAAGGTGAAGATAGTGATAACAAGGAAGCAGTGGAAGGAGTTAGTGAGCAATGGAGACTTGCAAAGCTTAGATGCTCACAAGCTGCTTTCTCTTGTGATCATGAGCATGAAAACGTCGGGAGGAAACGTTGGAAGAGAGAAGAAGAGGTGGAGACCTTCGTTGCAGAAGATAGAAGAGGTTTCAGCAGAGTAGGTTTTATTCATTTTGTTTGTATAT